TGGATTTTTTCACCTATGTTTTTATGTCCATTGAGATGATCATATAGTTTTTGTCCATTATTCTGTTAACATGATGTATTGTATGGATTGATTTTCCTGGTTTAAACTGACTTTGCATTTCTGAGATAAGTTCCACTTGGTCATGGTTTACCATCCTTTTAATATTATTTTTAATATTTTATTGAGGATTTTCATATCTATATTCATAAGGGATATTGGTCTTACTTTTTTTAATACCCTAGGATGACTTTGGTTATTCTTGGTCTGATTTTGATATCAGGGTAATGTTGCCATCATGAAATACATTGGAAAGTATTCCCTCTTCTATTTATTGCTTTCTTTTGCAAAGTTTGAGAATATTGGTGTTAATTTTTCTTTAAATGTTTGGTAGAATAAATCAATTAAACCATCTGGGCCTGGGGTTTTCTTTGTAGGAAGTCTTTCTTCCTTCCTTCCTTCCTTCCTTCCTTCCTTCCTTCATTCCTTCCTTCCTCTTTCTCTTTCTTTGATTAACTCAATCTCATTACTTGTTAAAATTTTATTTAAATTTTCTAAATCTTCTTTAGCCATTTTCAATACTTTGTGTTTTTCTAGTAAATGGTCCGTTTCATTTAGGTTATCTAATTTGTTGGCTTAAAATATTCATAATTTTCCCTTGAAGTCCCTTTAAATCTTTCAGTGAAATCAATTGTGATTACCTCTCTTTCATTCCTGGTATTAGTAATTTGAATCAGGTTTGTTTCTATCCTACTCAGTTTAGCTAAGAGTTTCAATTTTGCTGACCTTTGCAAAGAACTAACATTTGCTGTCATTATTTTTGTATTGTTTTTGTATTCTATGTTTTATTTATTCCCACTCTAGTTTATATTATTTTCTTTGTTCTGCTTGCTTTTTGTTGTATTTTCTCCTTTTATTGTTATTTCTTTTTGATTCTTAAAATGAAATGTTAGTTTCTGATTTGAGCTTTTTCTTCTCATATTCTTTCCCTCTGTCCCTTTCTTAACTACATTTTTAAAAAAGAACTGTTTTTTTTCAGTAAAATTTGGGCAGAAACTACATATCTCTGTCCCTACATACACAGCCTTCCCCAATATCATCATTAGGCATCAAAGTAGATCATTTGTTGCAATCAGTAAACCTACATTGACACATCATAATCACCCAAAGTTCATAGTTTACATTAAGGTTCACTTTTAATGTTTTATATTCTATCTTTTTTAAAAATCCTCACCCATGGACATTTTTCATTGCTTCTTAGATGATGTGAGAGAGGAAGGGAGACAAAGATACATCAATGGGAGAGAGAGCATTGATTGGTTGCCTCCACTCTGCCCCTGGACAAGGGATTGCATGCATCTGGACTGGAAATGGAACCCACAACCAAGGTATGTGTCCTGACCAGGAATTGACCTTGCAACCTTTCAGTTACAGGACAATGCTCCAACCAATTGAGCCACACTGGCCAGAGCTATATTCTATGGATTTAGACAAATATAAATTGATATATACCTACCATTATAGTGTTATACAGAATAGTCACTATGCTGTGTCTCTTCATCCCTACCTCCCCCCAACCCTGGCAGTCACTAATCTTTACTGTCTTCACATTTTTGCCTCTTAAAGAATTTTATATTGTTGGGATCATACATTATGTAGCTTTTCAGATTGTCTTTTTTTTTTTTTAGGACTATTCAGATACTTTATTTCCTCATGTGTCAGTTTGCTAAGTTGTGTTTTTTTTCCTTGTCATAAATTACTTTATTGTTGTTCAATTACAGTTGTCTGCATTTTCTTCTCACCATTCACCAGCCCAGACAAACCCACCTTGTTTCCTTGCTTCCACCCTCCCCCTTGGTTTTGTCCATGTGTCTTTTATAGTAGTTCCTGAAAACCCTTTCTTCACAGTCCCCTCACCACTCCCCTCTGGCTATTGTTAGATTGTTCTTAATTTCAGTGTCTCTGGTTATATTTTGTTTGCTTTTTTCTTTTGTTGATTATATTCCAGTTAAAGGTGAGATCATATGGTATTTGTCCTTTACTGCCTGGCTTATTTCACTTAGCATAATGCTTTCCAGTTGCATCCATGCTGTCACAAAGGGTAGGAGTTCCTTCTTTCTTTCAGCTGCATAGAATTCAATTGTGTAAATGTACCATAGTTTTTTGATACACTCATTTGATTATGGGCACTTAGGTTGCTTCCAGCACTTGGCTATTGTAAATTGTGCTGCTATGAACATTGGGGTGTATAGGTTCTTTTGGTTTGGTAATTCAGGGTTCTTAGGGTATAATCTCAGCAGTGGAATTGCTGGGTCAAAAGGTAATTCCATTTTTAGTTTTCTGAGGAAATTCCATACTGTTTTCCACAGTGGCTGCACAAGTCTGCATTCCCACCAACAGTGCACTAGGGTTTCCTTTTCTCCACATCCTCTCCAACACTTGTTTGTTGATTTGTTTATGATGGCCATTCTAACCGGTGTGAGGTGGTATCTCAGTATGGTTTTAATTTGCATCTCTCTGATGATGGCTAGTGATGCTGAGCATCTTTTCATATATCTCTGGGCCCTCTGTAAATCCTCCTTGGAGAAGTGTCTGTTCAAGTCTTTTGCCCATTTTTTAAATTGGGTTTTTTTGTCTTCCTGGAGTGGAATCATGTGAGTTCTTTATATATTCTGGAGATCAAACCCTTGTCTGAGGTATCATTGGCAAATATGTTTTCCCATATAGTTGGTTCTCTTTTCATTTTAATACTGTTTTCTTTAGCCATGCAGAAGCTTTTTAATTTGATGTGGTCCCATTTGTTTATTCTCTCCTTTATGTCCCTTGCTTTAGGGAACATAGCAGTGAAGATGTTGCTTCATGGAATGTCTGAGATATTCCTGCTGATGTTTTCATCTAGGACTTTTATGGTGTCATGACTTATATTTAAGTCTTTTATCCACCTCAAATTTATTTTTATGTATGGTGTAAGTTGGTGATCGAGTTTTATTTTTTTTTGCATGTAGCTGTCCAGATCCCCCAACACCATTTGTTGAAGAGGCTATTTATACTCCATTTTATGCTTCTTCTTCCTTTGTCAAATATTAATTGACCATAGAAACTTGGGTTTATTTCTCAGCTCTCTGTTCTGTCCCATTGGTCTGTCTGTTTTTATGCCAGTACCAGGCTGTTTTGATTCCAGTGGCTTTGTAATACAGTTTGATATCAGGTATTGTGATCCCTCCTGCTTTGTTCTTCCTCAAAGATTGTCTTTTTTTTTTCCACCTAGTAATATATATTTACGTTTCCCCCATATTTTTTATAGCTTTATGGATTATTTTTTCTCTGCAGTGAATAACATTCCATTGTATGAGTGTACTATAGTTTATTTGCCTGCTAACTGAAGGACATATTGGTTGCTCTCTAGTTTTGGCAATTATAAATAAAACTGCTATAAACATTGGTGTGCAGGTTTTTGTGTCAACATGGGTTTTCAACTCATTGGGGTAAATACTTAGGAGCATGATTGTTGGATCACATGGTGAGGGTGTGTTCACTTCTGAAGGAATCTGCAAAAAGGCCTTGTTGTTTTGCATTCTCACCAGCAATGTATGAGGGTTCTTGTTGCTGCACTAACTTGTCAGCATTTGGTGTTGTCTTGTTCTAGATTTTGGCCATTCTAATGGGTGTGTGGTCATATCCTTTCTTTTTATAGTCTTGGCATTGATATCTATTCATGTCTCTCTAAGCAATGATTTGGCTATATCAAATAAATTTTAGTATATTGTGTTTTTCTTTTCATTCATCTCAAAACATTTTTAAATATCCCTTGTGCTTTCTTCATTGACCCATTATTTCTTTAGGAATATGTTGTTTCATTTCTGTATATTTATGAATTTCCCTCTGTTTTACTTTTCAATTTCATTTTATTATGTTCAGAGAATGTAATTTGTATGACTTAAATTCTTTTAAATTTGTTGAGATTTGCTCCATGGGTCATCTTATTTTTGCATAGAGCTTTATTCGATACAAGTTTGACTATTCCTTTTGGATACCTCAAAGGAACTTGAAATAACATGCACTAAATCCCACCCATGCCATCTCCCCTTACCCCCACTCCTTTTCTACTATTTCCCATCTCAATGAAGGTGCCACCATCTCCTGCATTCCTCTGGTTTGAACCTAAGATCTCCTTTTATGCCTCCATCTACCTTGGTCTATAAATCTAATCCATTACTAAGTCTGGTTGATTTTACCTTTTAAAAAAAAACTCTTGAATCGATTCACTTCTTTGCATTTCCATGGCCAACACTGTCATCTAAGACACCGTCACTTCTTGCAGAAACTCTTACAATGTCCCTTCCCGCAAGCTCTCACCATTTTTACAAGAACTATTGAAACTCCTATGAACTGGTTTCCCAACCTCTACTTTTGCTCTCCTCCATTCCATTTTTTCATACTACAATGTTTCTACTTTGAAAATATACTGATCTGATGAACCTTTTGGTTATAATCACATTATATTAGAAAAACACCCCCAGATTTCATCAGAGCCTTGCATAGAGGGTCTGGCTGTATGATCCCTGTAGGCTCTGTTGCTCCTTTGCTCTCCATCCTCCAGCCTCACTGGCCGGCTTTCAATTCCATGAAAGACCATCCTCCTTTCTGCCACAGGGCCTTTGAACTTTCTTCCCTCCTGCCTTACTTAGGTAAATCCTTGTATTCTTCAGATGTCCTTCCATATTCACTTTCTTAAGGTTGTTTTCATGGGAGGCCCTTATCTGGGCCTGTAAGTACATATGTGTTTGTGTGGTTAATGGTAATAACCTACAAACACTGTGAAGATGGAATCCTGTCTGTGTTTGCTCATTGTCACAGACATGGCCCCTGATACAGTGCATGGCCAGAGAGGGGCTCAGTGAATGTTTGTTGAATATAAAGACCACACTCCCATCGTGAACACAACTTCTATCTTGTATCTCCTGTCCATCCCTGTTTCAGAACAGAACTGGGGCCAGACTCACCTCAGTGTCTCCAGGTGGCAAAGTGGATATTTCAGGGCCTCACAGAGGCTCTGTACTGCAGAGCAGCTCAGGAAGGTTCCTCTCAGGTCCATCTCATTCAGGCTTCCAGGGACTTTGAGAATGGAGAAGAAAATCTGCCACCAGGCATCTGTAAATGGGCTCAAGCTGGACCTAAGGGAGAGAGGACCAAAGAAGATGAAACCTGTGTGTTCTGAGAGGGTGGTCATGTGCAAAGCCCTGCACAACACAGTGGGGTGTGGATCCTTTGAGCACCAGGCTGCAGTGGGCAGAGTGACCCCCCCAGCTGGTCAGCCACCCCAACTGCCCCTCTGCTCCCACCACCCTGGGCTAAGTGCCCCACTTCCATGAGGCTTCTCATTGTACAGCCCCTGCCTCTCTCTATTGCAGTGTTCACTTGGTTGGTCTGTTTCTGCCTCAGTCTGGGACATTCTTGTGGTCAGGGGCAGATATTGTTCATCTCTTTGATCTGCAGTGCTCTGCACAGGGTAAGGCACAGAGCTTGAGGATGCAGTCATCCTCTCTTCAATCCAGACCTGCCTTTCCTCCTGTGGCACAGATGTTGTGAAGTCCTGGTTCCCAGAAAGGAAAGGAGTTGGTGGGAGGAGGGAACAGAGTCTGGAAGAGGTGGTTTAAAGCTGACTATATGACGGGAATATTGATTATGACTACTTAAGTGGCTGTCCTGATTTGCTTGCAAGGGACCCTATCCTCTTGCAAGGATAGCAAGACCCAGAGAGGGTCCACTGTAGAGAGATGGCAAAGGAGATTATCTCAGGAGAGAAAATTTGATGACTGGCTTCCTGTGAGAATGTTAGGGTAGACTGCCTTGTATAATTTCCACCAACTTAAATTCTAGATTTTCACACATTATTTAAATGATTTCATCTACAGGCTCAATGATGCAAATACTATTTTAAGTTCCAGAGTAGCATCTTTATATTCTTCCCAGATATCTCTACCTTGATAGCTCACCAGCTTCTTGACCTATTATAATATTTCTTCAGCTCCATTCATCCTCCCCCCAGGTCTGCAGAGCCATGCAGAAGTGAGGAGCAGAGGGTCTGGAGCCAGCTGTCAGCATGTGAATTCCACTTGTCTGTGCCTCAGTCTCCTCGCTGCTAGCAGGAGACAAGAAGACCTAGTTCAGAGGGTTTTATGAGGTGGTAAAGTGCTATAGAGAATTTCAAATATCTTAGTGAGGTTTCAGTGTTAATAGCTCCAAGACATATACATGCTGCAAAGGTACAAACCAAATTATCATTTGAAAGTTGATTGTTTTTTGGACATTCACTTGGTTTTGGGAAAGTTGAAGAATACTTTTTAAAACTTTCTGTTTTGCTGAACATTTGTCAACTTTAATCTTTAATCAGAAGGACCGAAATGAAAGAATAACACTCTATTACCAAAATGCACAGTGCTTAATTACAAACCAAATACATGAGCTGCTCATCCTTACTATCTTGTGTTGGTCTTACTTTCCCTCCCACAGCCTTGGGCCAATCTTTGACATTTCTTCAGACACTTCTTGCTTATTTAGAGTGTCTTCCTTGCTATTGTTTCTGCCTTGCCTGGCTCTGTGTCTTTAAAAACTCCCTGCTCACAGCAGCTGCAGCCTGCAGTTTCCCATGGAAGTTGCTCCAGAATCCAGGTGCCATTGTCCATTGAAAACTCTATTTGTCTTGATGTCCTTGACTTCTCTTGCTACTCACCTGGCCTCTGCCTCTGTGCCTGCTCAGGGTACTTCCGAAGGCTACCACCAATGCAACACCTGTACCCAGGTCCTTTAAAGACCAGTTCCCCTTAACATAAGTTGTTTTGTAACCATAACAATTAGAAATAACGTAAGTACCTGAGGAGAGATAATGGTCAGATAGGTGTGGCACTTTCCCTATGGAATACCATATGGTCATTTGAATGGTGTTGTATCAGGCTACTTCATAACATGAGAAGAGAGTCTTGATATGAAAATGAAATAAAGCTGACTGTAAAGTATAATATACAGTATGACTCAGTTTTGCATTAGAAATGTGCATAAAATGAGACTAGAGGATATATATCTCCATTTTTAAAGATTACATCTTATTGAGTGTCTTATTACAGTTCCAACTTTTCCCCCTTCAGCTCCTTTGAGCGAACACTCCCCACTTTCTCGGGCAATCTCCACACCTTTGTTCATGTCCACAGGTCATGTGTATAATAAGTTCTTGGCTACCCCATTTCCTATACTGCACTTTACATCCCCATGGCTATTGAGTAGCTACCCATTTGTACTTCTTAATCTCCTCACCTATTGACTTATTCCCCCACACCCTCTCCTTCTGGCAATCATCAAAATGCTCTCTGTATCCATGATTGTCTTTGATGTTCTTGTTTGCCTCGTTTGTTTTTTTTGATTCAGTTGTCACTAGATATGTTATTTTCATTTTGTTGTTTATAATTTTGATTGTCTTCTTTGTCTTAAATAAACCCGTATAACATTTCATATAATAATGGTTTGGTGATGATGAACTCCTGTAGTTTCTTCTTATCTGGGAAGCTCTTTGTCTGCCCTTTGATTCTAAATGATAGCTTTGCTGGGTAGAGCAATCTTGTCTATAGGTCCCTGCTTTTCATGACTTTAAATCATTCTTGCCAATCACTTCTAGCCTGCAAAGTTTCTTTTGAGAAATAAGCTAATAATCTTATGGGAACTCTCTTATATGTAACCAGCTTCTTTTCTCTTGCTGCTTTTGAGATTCTCTCTTTATCTTTAACCTTTAGCATGTTAATTATGATGTGTCTTGGAGTGGGCTTGTTTGCATCCATCTCCTTTAGGACTCTGTGCTTCCTAGACTTGCATGTTTATTTCCTTCACCAAATTAAGGAAGTTTTCTTTCATTATTTTTTCCAGCAGATTTCCAATTTCTAGTTCTTTCTCTTCTCCTTCTGGCACCCCTATGATGAGAATGTTGAAATGCTTGAAGTTGTCCTAGAGGCTCCTTCCATTATCCTCTTTTATAAAAAATTATTTTTTCTTCTTGTTGTTCTGTTTTTGTTTTGTTTTTGCTTCTTCATGTCTCAAATCATTGATGTGATTCTTGGCCTCATCCACTTTACTGTTGTTTCCATGTAACTTGTTCTTTATTATAATTAGTGTATCTTTGGTTCTGACTGAATCTGATTTATGATGTTGAGGTCCTCACTAAGTTCCTTGAGCATCCTTATAACTGTGTTTTTTTAAAATTATTTTTTATTTTTATTTTTTTTTTAGAGAGAGGTAGGGTGGGAGAAAGAGAGGGAGAGAAACTTCAATGTGTGGCTGCCTCTCCCATGCCCCAAACTGGGGACCTGACCCACCACCCAGGCACATGCCCTGACTGGGACCTGAACAGGCAACACTTCAGTTTGCAGGCTGGCATTCAATCCACTGGGCCACACCAGCCAGGGCATAACCTTTGTTTTGAACTCTGCATTTGATAGATTGCCTATCTACATTTTGTCTAGTATTTTTCCAGAGTTTTGATCTTTTTTTTTCATTTGGGCCATGTTTCTTTGTCTCCTTGTTTTGGCAGCCTTTCTGTGTTTGTTTCTATGTATTAGGTAAAGCTGCTATGACTTCCTGTCTTGGTGGTGTGGCCTAATGTAGTAGGGGTCCTGTAGGGTCCAGTGGCACAGGCACCCCTATCATCCAAGTTGTGTATATGAGGTTCTCCCTTTGTGTGGCTGAGTACATCCTCCTTTGTAGATGAAGCTTGATTGGGTTGGCAGGTCAATGGGAAGGAGTTTTCCAGGCCATTTAGCAGCAAGGACTTGCTGTGACCACTGACCCACCAACATCCACCCTCCATGGAGATCAGCTTTGCAGGGGCAGGGTGGTGGTGCTCCAGCATGGTCGTGGTGCTCCAGCACGGTCTGTAGTTTTCCACTGAGTGTGCAGGTTTTGGGTTTCCCTGAGTGGTGTTGGCCAAGGTCTGCCCCCACCTGCGTTCTGCTTGGAGCTACCCTGCATGAGCTACAAAACAATGTACAGACGGTTGCTACTTTTGTTGGACTTGGCAATTCTCTGGTGAAACCAAGTTGTGAACCTAGGCTGGCTGCTACTAGTGCTGAGCCTGGAGCCACTTAGCAAGAGATATGGGGAGTAGGGGCTCACTGAGGCCAGCTGTTGCTTGTTTTAAAGAATTTAAGAAGATGTGAAGTGTTAGCTAAGACCAGCTATTCATATAGAAAAGCCACTGTTAACAGCTGGGTGGGTCTGGTAGTTGGAGTGGAGCCTCAGAGGATCTCCAGGACTAGCAAACAGTGTTAGGCAGGTTAATGGAATCTCAGGTATGGCACCCACCTGCCAGCCCTGTGGCTTCGTTGGTGGGTGGTGGGGGGGTGGGTTCAGAAAAGGAATGATGGCCTCTGCATGGCTCACTGTTTGGGAGAAAGCTGTCCCCCAGCTCTCATCTTGCTGCCAGATATCTCAGTTCCTCCCTGTATGCCATTGGTGCTTTTTGAACTGCCTTCCTGGTGCTGGAGCTCTTTAGGGGTGAGTCTGAGTAAGTCTGTGTGTGGGCCCTTTAAGAGGAAATGCTTTGGACTCCAGCAGTTTCTTCCACTGACTCAATCCCTGCTCATTTTTGCAGCCAGAAGTTAGGGGGACTTATTTTCTTGGCACTGGCACCTTGTGCTGGGGGTCTAGTGTGAGACTGGGAACCTTGCTCCTAATGTCCCTCCCAAATTTTTATCTGTCACACATGGTTGAGGAACCAGCCCATTCCATGTCTTATCTCCACCCTTCCTACCAATCTGGATGGATGTGTTTTCTTATTTCCGTAGTTGTTGTTTTTCCATTCAACTCAATTTTTGGTGATTCCTAGTGATCACTGTTCTATATTTTAGTTGTAATTTTGATGTGGTTGTGTGAGGAGGTGAGCCATGTTCACCTACACTTCCATCTTGACCTGAAGTCCCTATATATCCTTTTTGATTGATTATCACTTCTGAGTGATGGAATTCTGGTTGATAATTTTTACTTTGTTGTTTATATGTCCTCATTTTTCTACAATGCACATGAGTTTTATATTAGAAAAAATTTATAAATCTGAAAATAAAACACACAAGGCCTACATTTCCTCCTTGGAATCTCTGTTCTCTTGTGGTGCACTCACATGATCCCTCCCTCCTTTCGGTTACCAACTGCCTCTCCTGTGCCTCTCTTCTCATAGGCTTTTTACTCTCTTCTCTCTCTGGATGGATGGATGTCTGTTTTCTCTCCCTATTTAAGTTCCTTTAGATAGGTATGTGCTTTATTAATCTTTGATATTTAGGGTCTGGCATAAAATCAGTGTATAATACTCATTTATGGAGTGAATTATCTACAGGAGAGATGGGCACCACAAAGAACTAAAGGATCAGTATTCCACTGAGTTGCAGAACCTAGATATGGAAGTTAACAGTGTTGCTGGGGTTGGAGGGTTGTTAGAGAGAGCTAATAGGTCATATTCAGATGGAGATTCCTGAGACAATTGTGCATCATTGACACACACAAGAAAATTCATTTTGCAGGGAAAATAGAGACTCCTTTTCAGACACACACACATTCTGAGGTGATGGGAGAGATTTCAGGGTCAAGCTCATAGTCAACAGCTATCAAAGGTGTTCCTGAAGCAGCTGAGTGAGCAGTGCCTGGCAGGAAGCATGTCATGAGGGAGAAACAGAGGTAGGTGGATTGGGTGGATGTGCACCAGGAGTGAAGGGAGCCATGATGACAGAGACAGGAGGAGAAGCAGCAGTACAAGGCAGGGCCACAGCAGGGTGCCCAGAGGCATGTAGGGAAGGTCACAGGGTTAGACACTATGCACAGAACCCTAGGTGGACAGAGAATGGGAGTCCAAGTTGGCCCTTACAAGTCCCTGGGGACCTAGGTCCTTTAGCAATAAGAGGCCAGGCTTAGTGAGAGTTCCTCCAGGGCCCAGGACAGTGGGGACAACAGAATAGCTGGAGGGAGGGGTCGGGGAGCACTCACACAATTACACCTGATGGTCTTTGTGCTTGTCTGTGAGGTCCACCCTCATTCAGTTGAAGCCTCTTCACGAGCCGGTTGTGTTTAATGCAGAAAGCGGACACCAGGAGCTCCAGGTCTGTTTGGACACATATCCTCATTCCACAGAAATCAGATATTGCTGTCAGAAAACTTGCATTCTGAAACTCATAAAAAGAGTGGAGCAAGTGCCAACAATATGGTTGTAGGTTCTGCTGTGTGAGCTTGACCTCCTTCTCGGCCAACTGCAGCAGCTTGTGATGCCTCTCCTGAGACAGCTGGCATTTGAAGATGCTCTCCATCTCTCTCATCCCCTGCTCACTCAAAAGGCCAAATAAAAAACATGTGATTGGTTCCCCAAACACACCAACCATCCCATATTCTCCTATAAACTCTTTCATACTTCTGATGCTAATTAACTTCTTATCCCCCAAAGCACAGGACATTGCTGTAAAGAACTCCTGGAAACACAAGTGCATGAAGCTGTAGCTCAGAAAGGTGGGGTGCTTCTGAAGAACACCCATCTTTAAGAGAGTGCAGGTGATGTCCTCATCTAACCCATTTTCTCTGAGGTCCTCAGGGCTGAACAAGGTCTTTCCTTGCTGGGTGCCCTTAGCAGCCAAAGAGCAGAAGTCCCATAGCTTAGTCCCAAAGGACTGAACTTGGAGAATGTGGAAAAAGTAGTGCAGACAGAGGGCAGTGGTCGTCTGGCAGGTCAGTGAGAGTTCTTGCCCCTGATCCATCTGCTGCTTCAGGCAAGTGCAGACCAGCCAGGACACCAAGGGCATGACACACATGGACAAGAGTGCTGGGTTTGATTCGACTGAGTTGAAGGCTCTAACTGCTTGGCTTTCATCTGTGAAGTATGTGTAGAAATAGTCCCTCCTGGCTGACTCAGAGAATCCCAGGACCTCCACCCAGCGTGGCTGCTTTAAAGAAGGAATGAACTTCCCCAGAGCTGTGATCCGAGCTGTGATGAGCAGGGAAGCCCCAGGAAGTAAGGTTTTCTTCAGCAAACTGCCCAGCAGTGTGTGCACCTGCTGCTGCTGGCTCCAGTGCAGACAGAACTCAGAACTATGCTGCTTCAAGTCCCATTTTGGTTCATCCAAGTTATCAAGAATGAAGAGCAGCTGCTCTGGCTGAGACAGGATCTGTCCAATGGGAGCTACAGGGCCAGCCCAGTCTTTGGAGATGAGCTCAGCAAGACTCATTGTCTTGGACTGGGCCAGGTCTCTGCAGTTGAAGTAGAAGACATGCTGGAAGCGGTCCCTGTACAGCCTGCCTTCCTCCCAGGCTCTGCTCACTTGCCTGGCCAGGGTTGACTTCCCAATTCCAGCAACCCCATGCAGTACGACTGTGAGAGCCTCTTCCTGGGTACCTGGGTCTGGGCCAAATAGGTCTCCGACCTCAATCAAATGTTTTTGATCATCTGTACCCTCATGTTTCCTCATCCAGAGTGGAAAATCATAGCCTCTGGGTTTAGATCTGTGTAGAAGTAGCAGCTGTGTGAATTTTTGTTGGAAATCCTCATTTTTCCATGACTGTGTGTGGCAGGGCATCTCTCCACTTTCTTTAGAGTATTTTTCTGTGATTCCTAAGTAAGGAAAGGAAAGATGGAACATGAAGGTATGGAATACATTTGTTCATTTGTTTCACCATTTAATCATTCAACAACTGCTTTTTGCACACACATGCTACAGCCCATGCTAACTGCTGGTAATGTTACATTCTTACCAGGTCAGTGGGGGAAACATGGGGTGTTTTGGAGGAGATCCCAGCTCAGGTCTTGACTTGACCAAGTCATTGCTACTGTGTGATGTTCCTTCATTGTGCAAAGATTAATCAAGGTCTTACAGTGCCAGCCCTGATGTAGAAGCTGGGGATAAAGAGTGAATGAAACAGACCTAACTCTCCATTCTCGTGAATTCCATGACCTGAACTGTTAATCTACTGAACATTAGTTTTTTCATCCTTAGGTTGTAATTGGTCATGGTGGAGTGAAGGGGCTAATAGATGGTCTAGCAGATACTATTGGTCCTGACAGTACCCCTCTGCACCTTCCACTGAGGCACATGCCATGGATATTCTTCTACAAGCACTGGTGGTTTCCTGTCTGCGGTGTCTGTATTAAGCATGAGTGTGGCAGGCAAGAACCCCAGGGGAGTGAATGCTCCAGGAGGGTCACTGAACCAGTGACAGATGGCAGTTCTTTGTCCGCCAGGAGACAGCACTTTGAGGTGTGCTCTACACTGTCTCCTGAGGACCCACAGGGCATCAAACCTCAGTCACAGGGGAATGTGCTCTGTAATGCAGGTTTCATTGGTTTCCCCTTCCCCATTTCACTTCTCTCTCTTAATGGTGCCTCCAGGGAATCAGTTCCTGAGCGAGCCAACTACAGGTTTATAACTTCAGAGGTGTAATCAGCTAAAAAAGTCTCCTTTTGAGTAGTTCTGTTTTGCCAGACATCTCTCCTAACTGAGCACCATGAAAGAAGGCCCCCATGAAAGATTACAGAAGTTGTTCTTATAGCCAGGTGGGACTGAATTTCTCAACAGGACCTGAAACTTGACATCAGGAACTAGCACATGTGTCCTCTGAATGCCTCCAGGACATGGTGGTGGGTGAGGAATGTAGCCAGCAGGACAGGCTACATGCTGTCCAACTACATTGAGAAGCAGATCCACATGAAGAAGGGCTCTCTCCCACAGAAGAATCCAAAGGAAACACAAGGCCCTCAGCAAGACCAAGAGGAAGACCAGTGCTGGGAGACGTCCCCAACACCCAGCACAAATGCTGAGTACCCTGCCAAATAGAGCATCCCAACTGCATCTCCGACCTCAGCATCCTGGACTTTGTCAAGTCTGCCTACATGACTTTGAAGGTAAACAAACTGTCCCTGGTGATGGAGTTGCATGTCACTGCCATGGGGGATTGCAGCAATGGCTGCTGGCATGGTGGCTACAACAGGCAGTTGAGCTGATCTCCCTCCAATTACATCCTAGAGGAAGTAGAAGAGTTGGTCTTTGAATTCCCAAGCTTCCTAGCCTGCTGCAAGGCTTGCCTGAATAATTACCAGGGCACCTATGTCCTCCATGTGGTCCAGAAAATGTACACTTTCAGCTTAGTCACTGAAAAGCTCACATTTCAGAAGGGAGAGAGATTGGAATTAATCGAGAAGCCCAAAAATGACCAGGAGTGATAGAAATGCAGACACTTGGGGGCAGGTCAACCATGTCTACCAACACTGGTGGTGGTTGTCACTGATGGGCTACCCTGTCCCTGTAGTATGTCCTATAGATCAGCTACCTGAGGAAGGGGCAGGAGGCACTTCACAGTCAGAGAGTGGTACTATGGGCAAGATGTGCCACCAAGCTGGGTGTGCCTTTTGCTTTTCTTCTCTCCCAAGGTGTATGAGCAGGTCGATCAAACTGTTTGGGCTGATGGAACCCCAGGTAAAATGGTTAACTTCCACCCATAAAAATTAATGTAAAAGAAGGGGCAATGATCCCATGAAAAAAATAATATCCCCTTAAGAAGGAAGCTTTAGAGGGGATTCAGCCAATATTACAAAATTTTTAATATCAGGGCTTACTCAGTCACGACAGTCCCCTTAACACTCCCATTTTGCTAAAGAGCCACACTATTAATGAGTATTGATTTGTACATGATCTTACAGCCATACACGACATTGTTTAGGACACTCATTTCATGGTGCCCAACCCTTATACTCTATTGACCATTGGTGACTGGGGATGGCCAATGGTTTTCAGTCCTTGACTTGAAGGATGTCTTTCTCTGCATCCCAATAGATGAACAGGCTCAACTACTATTTGTCTTGGAACAGCAGAATCCAGAAACTAAAGCCATGCACCAAATTGTTGGACCATGTTGCCACAAGGATTTAAAAACTCTATGAGTATATTTTGGGAAGAATTAGCAAAAGACTTATGGGATATTCAATTGAAATCAGGAGTTCTTTTAAAATGCATAGATGACTTACTGATAACTAGCAATACCTGTGAGTACCATGTGATTAATACCATCACAGTCCTGAGTCATTTGGCAAAACCAGGATATAAACTATCCTGTCACAAGATCCAGATTTACAAACAAGTGGTGGCATATCTGGGTTTCAACTGAAACAGGATACTAAGACCTTGATGATGGATAGAAAACAAGCAATTGCTCCAATAAAAATCCCAGAGAACGAGAGGCAGCTTCATGGGTTCTTAAGGATTACAGCGTTCTGCTGCATTTGGATTCCAGACTTTGGATTATAGCAAAACCACTGTATAGTTCCTTAAAATGACTGAAGTCTGAAACTTTTGAATGATCAAGAAATTGTCAGGTAGCACTTGACACCTTGAAGAAAGTTAGTTTCAATTCCCATAGTAGGATCGTCCAATTAAAAAACCATTCAAATGATACATTCATGAAAGGCAGAGGGCTGGACTGAGGTTACTAATCCAGACTCTGGGAAACAGCCCCCAACCCATAGTGTATCAGTCAAAGAAACTGGATCACATGACAAGGGGATGGCCACTATGCTTTTAGGCAGTGGCAGCTACCTGTGACATATTACAGGAAGTTGAAAAGTTCACTTTGGGGCAGCCTACTATGATATATAGGCCCTAACTCTATTGGAACAGAAAGGAGGGCATTGGCTGATGGCAGGGCACATGGAAATATACTCGGTCATTCTGTTAGACAACCCAAATGTTACCTTACAGACTACCACAACCTTGTACCTGGCCACCCTGCTCCTGGACTCAGAGGGAGACTCAGCCCTCCAGCATGACAGCTTGGAAATCATTAACAAAGCCTAATCCAGCAGGTCAGAACTATTGGGTCAGCCACTGACAGCACCAGAATGAGAGCTATCCACAGACAGGAGCAGCCTCATAGAAGATGGCGGATCACGAGTTAGATATGCAGTAGTCACCACAGACAAGGTAATAGAAGCTGAGGCCCTTGAGCAGGGAAACTCAACACAAGAGGCTGAACTCATAGCTCTCACCAGAGCCTTAGTAATGTCTCAGGAAAAGAAGGTTAACATTTGCACCAACTCCAAATATGCCTTCATGGTATCCATGTCTATGGGGCAATGTGGAAAGAGAGAGGGCTATTAATGTCAGAAAACAAGGATGTCACACATGCAAAAGAGATTTTACAATAGCTAGAGGCAGTGAACCTACTGAACCAGATTGTCTTAATACACTGCCAAGGACACAGAATGGATGGTTCCCAAATGAGTCAGGCAAACACTGAAAAAGCAGTGAGACAAGCAGCTGGAGGACCACTACACTTAGGGGTTTTGATCCCCTATATGAACTTGTCAAAATTTAAACCCTATATACAGAACAAGATGAGGTACAGGACCGTGAATGAGGATTCTCTAACAGTGACCCTAATTCTGTACGGAAGATCCACACTCACGGTATAATCTTTGTCTCTGAAGCTCTGGTGTATCTCATTTCTAAACACCTACATGAAGGGATGATTTGATGGACCTCATTAGGCCACATTTAAAGGGCTCTCATTTGCAAGGGCCATTCAGAGGATCACTCAAGACCATCAGGTATGCACCCAAAACAAACCTAAGACAGAGCTGGCCCCAGCAGAAAAGGAAGTACAATATGGAGGGTTATGGCCATTTAAAGACTGGTGAGTAAATTTTACACAAATGCCTAAAACCAGAGGGAATTTCAAATTTTTATTAGTTTCGATGGACACTTTTTCTGGATGGGTAGAGGCATAACTCACTAGAATGGAAAAAGTGACTGAAGTAGCAAAACTTTTACTTAAATAATTTCTAGGTTTGGACTTCCTTACAGCATTCAAAGTGGCAATGGAGCATCGTTCACTTCAGAGATGTCCCAGAAGTTTGGAGAAGCACTACAAATTCAATGGAAGCTACATGCATCTTGGAGACCTCATCTACTGGGAAGAATGAGAAGATGAACCACACAATAAAGAAGATCCTGGTGAAAACACAACAAAAAACTCACTTGAAATGGAGCCAGACACTCCCTATAGCCTTGCTCCAAATTACGGTAGCATCAAGAAGTGGGCTTAAATTAAGCCCTTTTGTCATAGTTTATGGGAGACCTTTCCACATCCCTGTTTTAGAGATGCCCACTTTATACATGGAACATGAGTAAAAATCAAGTAATATGTGCAACATTTAGGGAATATGCTAACCATTTTGCACAAGTTTGCTTATTGCAAGTTCATCTATCAGTCTGATGAGTCCTCACACCATTCTGGCCAAGAGGCTGCATTTTACCAAAGTGGTGGAGGACTCAAGGGCCTGAGCAGGAGCTAACTGAGCAATGGACTGATTCCTATGACAACCTGCTGACAACATTCTTTTCCCTAAAGCTCATGGGGAATCAAGCCTTGGAGTCACCACACATGGATAAAGGGGCACTACCTGAGAACTTAGACCCTGCTGCTGTGGCTGATGCTGAAAGGGAAAACTGGACCTGAACTCTGGAAGGAGATTTAAAATTTGTCTTTTGGAAAAGGAGAGTAGCCCCCAACACAAAGTGACAATGTTCCTTTTACAATATTTCCTTTTATATTATTTTACAC